CTGCTTCTCTCGCTGACTGGACTGAAATTAGTTTTCTTTAGGCTTGCTGAGATCTATTGAGAGTGACAGACCGAGGCAGACACCAGTTTAAAGATGAAATAAGCAACAGGTTTATTTAAACTTGGTGAACAAATCAACTCTTAAAAAGAGTGGTACAAAAGCGTAATGCGTTTCAAAGGCTTAGCTGGTTAGACAAGCAGTCTTTCCTTAAAGACTTTAACTTTTGTTCCCCAGTGAGTTCCTTGCCTCACACTGGCCACTACACTGACACAGTGTGCCCTTGAGAACAGCCCACTGACTGCCTCACAGAGCAAAATAGGCTTTCCTTCACTGACCCTACTCTGTACAGTGAACCAGGAACCTTTCCCTTTCCTATGCTCTAACCCTCAAGGCTCACTTCAAAAGTTCTCCCTGTCTAAATTCCTCTCAGCTCCCTCTTCCTAAATATACTTCTTCACTCTACGATGTTTAAAGCTCATCTCCTCAGCTTGTCAAAAAAACACAGCCTTTTTTCCCCTCTCAAACCTAACTCCTCCCCTGACTGCTCTAGCCAATCAGGAGTCGGCTGACTCCTCCCTCTTGCCTCTTAGCTCTCCTGCCTATCTCTCAACATGTCAGCCACTGACTTTCCAGGCTTCGGCCTTCCTGGCAAAAGGTTAGATTCATGACACCAACCATCACCATGACTAAAAGAATCTTAAGTTCTTCCCTCCTGTTCTTTTAAACTCAGAATACTTCTATGTGACGCAAAGGTACTCCCAAAGATTGATTTAGAGTAGCTTTGTTTATTTCTGTCACCCTTCATTGAACAATGGAAAAGTTCACCAGCTGATTTTTTGTTGCTCTTCCATACCCTTTCTGCCTTAGGTGCTAAACTACAGATGTAAGAGATGAAGAGTAGAAGGATCTAGATTTGGTAAGGACAGTCCCGATTAATCATTGCTCATCCCATTTTTTCAGTTGCTTTAAAAATGTTCCAGTTTGTCTTTCCTTTTCCCACTTCCCCCTTTGTTTATTGCTTCTTCTCATTGGTGCAGAGTTCAAAGTATAAATGTACTTCGCACTCAAATAATCCAGCATATCCTAGTTTGTGCAGTCATTTTCATTAATGATGTTTGCTAAATTTACCACACTGATGTTGCTTGGGTACACATGGCCTACTTTGCATCTGTGAAATGTTGAAGGATATGCCATTGGCCCTTACCTGGAAAATGATTTATTAGTAAATTCAACTCCATTTATCACACAGACAGAACACTAATCTAGTCTATGGGTCTAATCTGGCCCAGATGGGCTCCCAGGACCTGTCCAGACAGTACCTTTATCCCAGGAGCTTCCACAGCAAACATGAGGATGGCAAGATGCAATTCCCTGTGAATGTGGAAGCAATTGCTACAAAAGGCAAAAAATGTGAGATTTCCAGGTGCGGGAATATCACAGTTTTGAGCTGAATATGTGGATCTTCACATGTCTGTATGTTCCTGTAATTGGAAATCACGGGATGGTTTTATCTGGGTTTGTTCCCAGGGTTTAGAAGTTTGTTCCTGATTGGTCAATTCCTAAAAAGAAGGTGACACTTGAGTAGAAGGCAAGAACTTTGTTTGTGTGCCATAAACTTCATGAAACATCTGGAGGGCACAGTTTTTCTGGGCAGGACAAAGAACAAAACTTTTGCAGTGATTTGCTGCAGTGATTCTCCGCATATCCGCATCTTGAGGTTTTTTTAAAAAACGCCAAAGTTTCTGGTGGAAGTCCCATGGTGGCCATCTTGGAGCTTTTAAATCTCACAATAAAGCATCAAGTCTGGACAGCAGAGGAAGAAATCCTGGGACCAACAGGTGTGTATGTATATCTCTTCTGAAGTCACAGGATTTTTTGCCTCTGTTTAAAACCCATGATTTAGTGCTGTCTGGAAGCGTACCAAGTCAGTTTTATTGCAATTTCTATATTCTTACTTCACATTCATAGTAGTATCACACCATTTTAATCTTGTAGAATCTTGGGATTTGGAGGGATGCTGAAGAGATAATTCCATGTATCCCAATATTAAATAAATGTCAAGTATTTGTTTTGGTGGGGGTATCTTCTTCAGAAGGCTGTCTCATGCTACAAATCCCAGAATTTCATAGGATGCTGTCATAGCAGTTTCTTCTTGTGTTTTTTAAATGTTGTGTTTTATTGCTGATATGTTATTTATATTTTTGTATGTTTTGTATTTTTGTTTTATTTTATTGCTATGTTGGTTTATACTGATGTATTGTATTGTCAGGCAACAAGTGAGTAAAAATAAAGCTGCAAATAAAGGATTCAGAAAAGGATGGACACACCCCCAAATGTGCTTTTAAAACCTCATTTGTAGTATAGGAGGAAGGCCTTGATCTTGTCAGTTTCTCCAAAAAGGATATCTACTTAAAGTGGGGAAAGGTACAGACCTCTTGGCTGGGGTTTCTTTCGAGTTTCTTCCTCCCACCACCCTGCCTCTCCCTTTCTTGTGCCTCTGTAATTTTACTGGAATGACTAAATCTCTGAGCTATGTCAGCAGTAAACAGAATTAATTTACCTCCTACTTCTTTGAAACAGCTGCTGACAGCTGTGCTATAATCAACTGGGCATCTTTGCAGGGCTGCCAGCAATGAATTCACATTTCTCCCCCAAATCCCTACATTCAGATTTATGTAGTTGCTGCAAATGTTGACAGCTATGAAACTGAATCTGGAAGCTTGGAAGAAAATGCATTAGGAGTCTAAGGGGGAAAGGAAGGAGAAAAAGTGGTGGATCACTGTACCATGATGTATTCTAGAGGATTGGATGAGATAGTGAGTTTCAAAGAGGAAAGTGACAGAGACCTTTCATGAAACCTAGGCACCTGGGGTTGGATGCCAATTTAGGGGCACCTTTCGCAAGTCACTCTCAATCTCTCAGCCTCAGAGGAAGGCAAAGGAAACTTGCCTAGAGAAATCCTGCCAAGAAAACCTCATATGTTCATTTTAGGATTGCCATTAAGTCAGAAATGACTCCAGGCACATAACTACCGTCATTGGGCTAATGGAGTGGGCCTCCTTCCTAGAATGATCCAAGTTGTGACATAAAAGATCAGGGACTCTAGATGACTGAGCTGAGGTAGGGAGTGGGAGACAATCCTTGAAAATAGGAGCACTGAAACTTTTCATGAGCACACTTTATCACTTGCCTTTGAGGAATGAATAAAATCCCCATGCCATGATCAGCTCAGCACATTATGCCCATTGATGTACTTTATCACATCCTTAGTGATATTCACCAATTGTTTGTCCCCATCTGAAATCCCCCACCAGGCACACTACCCTAGTTATCCATCTCACCCAGGGTTTTTTATATTTTACATTTTATTCTACCCTCTGTAACGGCCCAATCCGCTGTGTTCATTTTTGTTTGTTTATTTCATTTTTTGTATTTCATTTTGTATTAAGTTGTTTTGTTTTTATTTCATTTGTTGTTATTAATTGCTGTATGCATTTTATTTTGATTTGTTGTAATTGTTTGGGCTTGGCCTCATGTTAGCTGCCCCGAGTCCCCATTGGGGAGATGGTGGTGGGGTATAAATAAAGTTTTATTCCTATATTAGTGGCAAATAATGTCATTTCACCAGAAAATCAAAACAGTCCCAGGGTTCCAAGCCTATGAGTCCTGACTCCAATATACCTGCATGAATACTTGTTTCTCTTCTTCTTAGAATCATCACATCTCTTTGTAAGCTCCAACGGGTACAGGTATCAAACTGCTCAAGATAATGGATTGCTAGGAGTACATAGTACTAGGAATACCCACAATGGGTTTATTCTAGTCTCAACTAGAACAGACCCATTGAGTCAAATGATGAATGCTGAGTCAACACCTAGGTAACTCCAATTGATTAAGTGGTTCTCGTCTTGTAATGACTAAAGATTGAATATAGGCCCTCAATGGGTTGTCGTAAATCAACAGGCAACATTACACACATTTCTTGGTTTTTATCGAGTGCCACCATATTTCTGTAATAAGCAATTTTGTGACTGGGCAGTGTCAATATGAGAATTGTTGATGTAATGACTTTTTGCATTTAATTTATCTTGATAAATGATCCCACACTCAACTATGTGTACTGTCAGCCATCCTTAACCACAGATTCTGCATCCACTGATTCCTTCTTCCATAGTTTAAAACCAGCTCCCCGCTACCACGTAATCCATGTTATAAATTCAGAACTGAGGGGGCGGGGGGATGACAACGATTAGATGGGAAGAACTCTAATTGTTGGATGAGATAGGAATGAACTTAATTTATTATTATTATAATTATATTATTATGTTTATTTATACCCTGCTTTTTCTTCCCAAACAAGGAGACAAGAATTAATCTCACGTGTTTGCCCAGGTCTTGACATCCTTTTCAGTATCTTTCAATGCCTGTGATGTTTTCTACTTGGAAGAAGAGAGGATGGGTTTTTTTTCTGACCAAAGCTGAGCTCAGGAACATCCTCTGAAAGGAAGTCTTACTTCCACATTAATTACTTTCCCTAAGTGGATCAACACCTTCCTTTATAGGAAGACATTTTGCAGGCAATTTTAATAGGCTATTTTTAATCTAGACTCTTCATGTTCACAGATTTGATTATTTGCTGATTTCATTGAAATTGTCTCTCAGGGAATCCCTAGAGTCTTCAGCACAACTCTATGATAGACAGTGTAATGGAGGACCTAGAGCTTTCTAGAGGAGTTCTTTCAGATTAAAAAAAGAGTTTTTTTCCACTTTTGTTGAATTCTTGCATTTCTAACCCCTGTGCATGTGGAGGAGTGGACTAGGATGCAAAGAAATTAGAAAAAGAAAGAATGTATTTCCCTATGCAAGTATTTTCAAGTCCTAATATGTTCAGAGAGGAGGATTCTGTCTGTCTTCATGCTATAAATTGTTGTAAGCCACCTTGGATCCTGTGCTGGGAGAAAGGTGAGATTTAAATAAAACAAAGATACAAAATGAGAGTATTTTTTAAAACCATGTAGAACCACAATCATTTATTTGGTTAATTTATACAAACAACCATCTAAAAACAACTGATCTAAAGGGGAATAAAGACCCAAAACGTATATTCCTTTATTTTTTTACCAACAGTTGTTAATAAATACTTTATTAAATAAGAAAAAAACATGTGTTCAAAGGAGAGATGAATAGTTTTTCTTCCTGAATCTGTTTGAGAAAAGAGGAAATATAGAGGCTGAAATAAATAAAATTTGTTCTGCTTTTTGTGAAAACTATTTACACAAACATGTACAAACAGTGGAGCTTACACAGAGATTTGCAGGAGGCCTGCCATTTATTTAGTGTGGGACATGGGAAAAATAGGAGAAACAAACCCATAAAACAACATTCCCCAAGAATCGCTAAAAAGGTTAGTGAATACAGTGGAACAGTTTATGAAGTGTGGCCTACCATATACAGAACATTCACTAGTATGGACCGGAACACAAGGCACTAAGGCTCACCCATATATTATATACATACACACTTAGAAGGTGATTTTAATGTATTGCATTAGCTTTGCAAGAAGATACCAAGTTCCCTGAACAAGGCTCACTGAACCCCTAGAAGTATAAAATGATACACTGAGCATATTTTAAATTATGTACCAGATGACTACTCATCTCTCAGAACTTGAAACATTTGCTGTTTTCAGGCGCAACACCCAGAACCTCTGGGAAATATGGTCCAAAGAAAGGTACACTTTTGAAGTTCTGCCTCCTCATGATCCTCATCTTACCTACTCAAGCCAAGGAGACACAATTTCAAAGAAAACATCATAGGCTACCAGTTCCTTACGTTGGGCAGCCCTTCATAACATATCTTTGAAGGCCCTTCCATTCTATTCATCATCCATTTGGACCCAGTCTCCATGGTCATGCTGTTAAGGCAGTGGTTCTCAATCTGTGGGTCCTCAGGTGTTTTGGCTTACAACTTCCTGAAATCCCAATCACTTTACCAGCTGTTAGGATTTCTGGGAGTTGAAGGCCAAAACATCTGGAGACCCACAGCTTGAAAACCACTGTGTTAAGTGGAAAGACTGAGGTTTCAAAAAAAAAAACAACTGGAGAGGGCACTCATACTTTAAACATGTGTGCCAGTTGTGCAGCAGTGGGGGTTTCAGCAAGTGTTGCTTCTTATGTCTGTTGGAATTCCCTCTTCCGCACAATCATTATATTATGAGGAAACCCTAAAAAACTGGCAGAAGCAACTAAATCCCACCTCCTACTTACTTGAGCCAAGGGAAACATCTGTGTTGCCCACCTATTGATTCTTTCAACAAAGAAGCTGGGAACCAAAACTGCTATGGTGGCCCACCTTGGTAGCTGCCAGAACCTTCCACCTGGGTATGATCTTTTCTAGCCCACTAGGGAAGTCTTTCTTAAGGCACCTTTATGGTTCATTTGACATCAGCATGTTCCTCTGCACCCATCCTATTTGCATATTTACCAATCCAAAGTAAAACATGGTTATTTGGGCCCATGCTATAGGTCTCCTGTTGTGAAAGAAGGTTGCTTTTCACATGGAAGACAATGGTTCAAGCAGTATTTTACAGCTCCTCAGAATCTCTGAGCCACTAAGTTTGTTCCAAAAGGAACTATGGAATAATGCAAATCAGCTCTGCAAATGCGGTGTATATTTGTGTATACACAGCTGCCATCTAGTTGCACACAAACAATTGAATTCCAAGGACTGCAATTTTAAAATATGTCACTTTTATTGCTATTTCTGGCTGCTAAATAAAACTGTTGATGTGGGGTAGTACATTGGCCTATAGGGAGGGAAAGTGTGAAAACTTACTTAGCCATGAAGCTCCCCTGGAGATTTTTTGGAGACACCACTATTCTCTTCCACTGTTCTGTCTTATAAACTGGAACAACTCTTCATCACCGGTCTTGCTTAATTCATTCTATAGTCTAAAATTACCTCAAAATAATTTGTTTTCAGGTCATAAGTAAGAACGAACAGCTGTGTAAAGCACTGAAACCCTGCCCCAACTACTGAAAATAAAATTCAAATATATCATTGATATCTAAGGGCTAATTAAAGTCAGTAAAGTTACCCATTAAACTATACATTTTCTAATGTAAATGGGTAAGTTAATTCAATTAATTTTAAAACTTAATTTAGAACTTCAACCTTATGTCATTAATTTGTCAAATAGGAGACCATGTTAAAGACCCAACAAATGTAACAAAACCCAGTTTATTATTTTACCAAAAGCCCAGCTCTTGTGGATTTTTGAAAACTGTTCCTTGCTTTTTATTAGTTTCTTCAGACTGGTGCATTTTAATGCCTTAGCCACCAGATTTTATTTTTGCTTACCAACCCCACACAAAAATACAATCTGGTGGCTAAAGCATTCAAAGTTTTAAAAAATTAAGTCAACATACAGTAGTGGCAGCCTAGAACACGGGTTGGTTTTCTTTGGGCTCAAGCGGACTTCCTATGTGTTACATTAGGCAGTGCACAGAATGTCCTTTTTTTGTCCCAGGAAACTGAATTTTGGAGATCTTACCCCGAGAGTTTTGCTGGGATACATTTATAAGAAAGGGAGGGAAATGAAAGCAAGAGAAGGCATTTTGATGGGTAGATGAAAAATAGGTTTTTCCAAAAATTCATTTAGCTGTTTACTTCTTTCTAAAGTCCAAGATAGGAACACAGAAGGAATAAGAACAAAAGCCTTTGTTCCTGCAATGGTTTTATAGAACAGACTTTTAACTTATACTTCAGTGGCAATTTAACATGAACTTATTAGTTCTCCTCCCTTCCTAACATAAAGGCACTGAACTAGATTTTTCAACCTATTAATAACTAATTAATTAATAGCTAACAATGCATTAGCACTTTTCTACTAACTTTCATATTTCTGGATTTGAACAAAAAGATTTCATAGCCATGAAGGCACTTCTTTCCCATAACACTAACCAATCAGATCTCTAATGTTGTTCATTTGCTTTGTTCAAAAAGACGTCACCAGTATCTGCATGGAATATAAGTATTGAGTTATACTTATGAGTAGCCCTTTATTAATCAATTCACTCTAAGCTTTATCCTTTCAAAAAGGCACGCAGTGAAAAACACTCTCTGTTCAGGAAATAATTCCCATAAATGAAGCATGTGTTCTGTGAAGATAAATATTCAGTACTATCTCCAAAAGCTACAGCAAATCAGCTTCACTGGATTATCTCATTCCAGTATTAGGATTGTTAAAAGATATACACTTTTCTCTCTCCATCACACAAAGAAGTGTGTCAAATTGTAGCACTTCCTTCTCCATGTGCTAGCAGTGGTTCCCAACCTTTGGGCCTCCACGTGTTTTGGATTTCAGCTCCAACAGTTCTAACAGCTGGTAAGCTGCCTGGGACTTCTGAGAGTTGAAGTCCAAAACACCCGAAGGCCCAAAGGTTGGGAACCACAGTAAGAGGGAAAAGTCTTCAGTGAACAAATTTTCCTAGTAAGACATGTTGTCCTCTTTGTTGATCACATTGCTTGCCCTTTTCTACAATTTCTTCCAGATCTACAATCTTTATGACACGGGACAACCAGACAATACACAGTATAAACAATTGCCTCACCAAAAGTTTAGATAATGGCATACAATCCTTGCTGTTTCATGTTCATGTCTTTTCCTAATACAAATTGAGAATCCCTTATCCAAACTGCTTAGGACCAGATATATTTTGGACTTGGGATCTTTTCCTCCGAGATTTGGAATATCTGTATTTGAATATATGTGCATAATGAGAAATCTTTAAGATGAGATCCAGGCCTAAACACAAATTCATTTATGTTTCATATATACCTTATACACATAGTCTGAAGGTAATTTTATACAGTATTTTAAAATAATTTAATACATGAAACAGCATTTCTGTAGTCTGAACTATCAGAAAACAAAGGTGTCACCATCTCAGGCACGATGTGGATAATTTTGGATTTCAGATTTTGGAATTCCTGATAAGAAATATTCAACCAGTAGTACTGGAAAGACATAAGCCCATTTCTTTTCACGATTTATAAACCATTATTTGTGTAGCTTTTCTTTTGAAACTTTTGTGCCCAGTTTTGAATAAGAAATAGAGTGCTCAAAATGTAGAGATATAGCCATGTTCAGCACCACATCAGCACTAATATGTCTCCAATTTTGAAAAGAGTTTTCCTTGTTGAACCAAACTGAAACGATATTGGCTTTAATACCCAACTTATTGACTCATGTTCACTTTGTTATCTGCTATAGCTTCTAAGTAACTTAGACTCATCAGTGCTTGCCCAATTTTACCATCTTCAGGGCACTTGATTCTTTTGAATGTATTATTCCTTCCCAACGTCATAAATGTACCATCGATCTTTGGTGCTCCGATTCCTCTTGTCAGAAACTTTAAAGAAGATGTTATTCACTTCTTCATATGCATTAGTAGAATATTTTACTCTTTGCGCAGTATAGTCCTCTGTAGAATGCTATCATACACTGCTTTCCAGCTTCGAAGAGATAAAGTTTTTCATTTTCTTTGTGCAATGGCAGTATTGCAGCCAATGATGTGAATCCAAGGTATGATTATTGCTAATGGGAATCATAGAATGACAGAACTGGAAGAGACCTTGTGGGCCATCCAGTCCAACCCCCTGCCAAGAAGCAGGAAAATTGCATTCAAAGTACCCCTTTGCTTGGAAAGCTTGGAAACTTTAGCTTGCGAATGGGGGAAATTCGCTGGGCGGTAAAAATATTTTCTTATTCCAGTTAGAACTGCATGCTTACTATTGTGCATAATTGTTGGAAAACAGGGAAATAATTTTCAAATGTTACTGTCAAAAGAAACGGTGTGATCTCATCCTGTTCTACTGAAAGCCTGCGGTATTCAGAAAGGTGGCTTAAACTGTGCAAGCTTATGTGCAGTTAAATCAATTGCACTAACTATAAGAAAACCATACGTACATTTACAGTTTGTGATGCTACCAGTGTGTTTTGGATTGAAACGGGTAAGTAAAATGTGTATGTTATGTGCCACTGTGATTTTTGGATTTATAATGCTGACTGTGCTTTCAAATGGGGAAGTCAATAGTTAGCTGAAGGCACCAGGCTCAGTGACTAAGTGCAGAGCTGCTTTGGAAGAGAAGTATGCCAAATGAGGAGCACCACGGGGAAGGTGGAGATAGTATTCACATATCCCTAGCAATCTTAACAGAATCTCTGCTTCTTGCAGGCAACATCATTCACACATTTAAATTCAAACAATTTATGTCTCTAAAAGTAATTTTATATAATCTATGCACATGTGTACACACTCAAACACTCATACGCACTTTTTTCACCACAGAGATGGCTTTTTGTTTTTGTTTTTAAAGAAAGTTTGTTCCCCTTGACAAAAACACTTTCGGACTGGTTTTGTTTACCCTACAAGAAGTACAGACCTGTTTTGCAAAACAGGTCCTTGGTCCTTTTTTTTCTCATTGTGCATTAGTTTTACAGAATGATGTTCATTCAAAACCCAAACTCGCTGCAAAATGCCACTTCCATTTGGAATTCTTCCTTGACTCTATGGCCCCGTCAGAAATGTTCTTCCTAAGAATTGTGGCTTGTTTTCAGAGAAGGTTCTCTTCTTCTTCACCATCAAGAGTATAACAGTATAACCCTGCCTGTTTTGCAACTCACGTGTTGTCACTCCATTGTGGGATGTTTAATGACAGCCACAAGCTCGTACCACCATGTTTCGGTATTTTTTCAAAATGACATTGGAGCTGTCATCAAAGTAGAGGACTGAGATGGCGTGGAGCTGTGTTGGGGCACAGCAAGGTTTCGGCACAGTATTGGGGTTTATAAAGTGGACCTGTGGAACACATCAGTTACAAGACATCAGAAAGTTTATAGGCGTTTTCCTCCCCTCAGGGAAAGCTTTAAAACCTAACACACATTTGCAAACTACTTAAGTGGATGTTGACAAAGGGAAGTTCTTAAGTACTTTTTTTCCAACCGACCCTCGTAGATTTTAATGAATGAGTGGTGTGGGTTACAAATATGGGGATTTACAAATGACTAATTTCTTGAATTATTTTCGAAGTCAACATGGCAATTATAATCTAACTCCTGTTGCACTATGACTTTTTTCCATGTTAGGAATGACTTGAGAAACTAAAAGTGAAAGAATTGGCCATTTGCAAGGATGCTGCCCAGGGGATGCCCAGATGTGTTACCATCCTGTGTGAGGCTTCTCTCATGCCCGCACATGAGAAGCTGGGGTTGACAAACAGGAGCTCACCCCACTCCCCAGATTCAAACCGCCTGCAGTTAATGGTGCGGAAAAGATACAATATGGTTCAAGTGGTGGCTCAAGCTTCTGCGTGAAGCTGTATTAGGTATGAGGTAGATACCCATCCCCACATGTACAACAGATCTTTAGGAGTCCTGTTAGTGGCCTATGCAGATGTAATTCAAGCTTATGTCTGCATAAATTTTTGATCACTATGGAAGCTGTATTCCCTTCCTTCCTCTACAAATGATCAAAGCCAAGTCTCCAGACACAAATTCTGAACCTGGTGGAGAGTGAGAAGAATCAAAGATATGTCTGGCTATGTCTCTGTAGCCAGATGCAAAATGATTACATAGCTGCCAATACCATAGGAGGTCTTTATAGAGATCAGTGGAAGATTTACATATTGCACAGGGACACAGCCAGGTGCTTTCTTGATCACCTCCTACATTTACTCTCTAGAAGGCATCAAATGGCCATGACACAAGGCTTCAGAGGCTCAAAGGTAGGTCCTTAAGGTGGAAATAGCTCAGCGTAGCATAGTTCTCCATGCGGAACTACTACACTATGCTGGTCCATGCAGGATTCCAGTCTCCCTTTTGTACCACAAGTTAGCAATCTAAAGCATTGATATTGCTTTTAAAACGAAGTATCTATTTTTTAGGTTTTTGAAGGTTTTTCAGCCTATATGGCCATGTTCTGGAAGCATTCTCTCCTGACCTCACAACCTCTGAGGATTCCTGCCATAGGTGCAGGCGAAATGCCAGGAGAGAATGCTTCTAGAACATGGCCACATAGCCTGAAAAACCCAGTGATTCCAGCCATGAAAGCCTTCGACAATACAGTATCTATCTGTGTTCCTGTTTCAAATAAAAAAGCAATGAGTTAGTTTTCAAAACTAAATTAACATTATCATTGACTCATAGTTGGAAGGGGCCTTAAGGGCCATCTAGTCTCTGCTCATTGCAACTAAACCATTCCCAGCTCCCCATGAAGATGTCCAGTTCACTTCTCTAGATAATTGGATCCATTGCTAAACTGTCCAGAAATGTCTTCTAAAGTTCAATAGAAATCTACTCTCTTGTAACGTCAGACTTTTAGACCTAGTCTTAACATCTGCAGCAACAGAGAACATTCCCTCCTCTCTGTGACAATTTCTGAGCTATTTAATGTGAACAAGCAAATCATCCTTGGTCTTTTCTTCACCAAGCTGAAACCCAGCTCCTTCTTCACCAGCCAAGCTCCTTCAACCTTTCCTCATATGTTTTGTTCTCCAAATTACTTAGCTTCCTCGTTGCCAGTCAGTTTTCTTATTTGCAGTCATTTTGACTGATTAAGCACTTGAAGCATCTATCAATATCATATGTTCCTCTTCTTTCAGAAGAGAAATGAGCAATGCAGCCCACGGGATGCATGTGGCTTGAGTCCTCATTCTGTGGCAATCCACACCTCCTAAGGCTCCCCCCCCCCCCAAAAAAAGAGGTTCTGAGGGGCATGGTGAATTGCCCTCTCTATATTCCCTATGATGTGGTGAGGATTTTTAGGGAATTTAAAAAAATAGAAGAGGCGTGCTAAGGGATGGGGCTGTCAGAGGTTCTGCCAGGAGACAATTCAATCCCTGGCACTTGCCTCCCTTTAAAGTTCTCTCTCAATTAACAACTAGCAAATGTAATTATTCATAATACTTTCCAGTTTTCTTGGGAATCTTTTGTGTGCATGTGTGACCTTTAAAAATTCAATTAACACTGAACAGATTCAAGCTTAAGAGCTGGAAAGGATGTTAAAAGTGGCTTACCAGCGTTTGCACAATAGCATGGTTTGTTGCATTCATGTAAGAGTTTAACGGAAAGGCACATTCCCCTTCGCAGTAGTATGCAGCATAGCCTTCTGGGGCAATGATCCAGTCCTGATTTAGATCAGACAAAGCAAGAGAGAGGATTTCATGAAACAGGTATCGGAAATCTTTACTCTGATATTTTTTCAAGCAGGTCAGTATGGAAAATATTGACTAAAAGGTGAAATTTCAAAATTTTGGAGAAAACTGATTCATCCTAATTTCTGGACACAGAGCTTAATAGCAAGGATGAGACAAAGACAGAAGTCGGGACTAAAGAGCAAGTCAGGATCAAAGGACAAACCAGGAGGCAGAGCTGAGAAGTAAGGCAGAAATATGTGAATTTCAAGATAGGACTGGAGCAAGTCAACATTTAAAGACAAACCAGGGACCCTTAGACACTACCCAATTGTAGTGCCATGATTCCATTTTAAATGCCATTGATTTTTTTTGTTGTTGTTGTGTCAGGATCGAATTGAGAAACTGCAAGTCGCTTCTGGTGTGAGAGATTGGCTGTCTGCAAGGACACCCAGATGTTTTGATGTGTTACCACCCTTGTGGGAGGCTTTTCTCATGTCGCCGCATGAAGAGCTGATGAAGGAGCTCATTCGTGATCTCCTTGGATTCGAACCTGCGACCTGTCGGTCTTCAGTCCTGCTGGTACAGGGGTTTAACCCACTGTGCCACCAGGGGCTCCAATGTCATTGATACATTCTATGGAATCCAAAGATTTCCAGTTTGCTCAGGCACTATAGCTCTCTATCTCAGAATTCCAAATATCCCTTCGTGCATTGCAAATCCCAAGATTCACTAGGGTATTGCCATGGCAGTCCAAGTGGAATCATAGAGGTATAATTACGGAGTATGAAAGTGTACAGGAGCCAAGGAACAAGGAGAAGCCAGGACTGAAGCCAAATTAGGACCAATGGGCACATTAGGAGGCCAGGCTGAGAAACTAGGCAAAAATCTGGACTAAAGGGCAAGCCAGGAGATAAAATCCAAAGGCAAGACAGATCTCAGGTTGGAAAATATGGGAAGAATCAAAAGTCCATGAAGCTTTTATTGCTTGAGAAAGGTTTAATAATCTCTGTAGTAATTTTAGTAGGATTATTTATTTAAATTTGTAAAGAAAAAAATCTTTTCTTTCTTCTGTTTTCTTCTTCATTACGGTCAGGCTTGAGAAATGGCAGTCAGAGACCTACTGAGTATTAATTAAATGCCTTTTACTTTTTTTTCTTCCTCTTTTTATGTTTATTTTTTTGCACACATACTACTTTTGATTGTGAATTAGATTGTTCAGGTCAAAAATTAATTTAAGAAAAATAAACATTCAAGTCTCTCTCACACAAACACACACAAACTCAGTCATTAAGGTCCTCTGGGGAAAGTTTACTCCCGTCAGCCAAAAACTAGATGGACAATGTTGCCCAGAGGATATTTTCTCTGTCTGACCCCAGATGGTGGAATCACCTGCCAGATTTATCAAGTAGATATGCTTTCTTACAGAAACAAAGAGCTAATGTGAAAGATTATTGTTACTGTACAAGAAGAACTGTTTTGACTTTTATATGAACATTTTTCTCAAACTGTTGCTCAAAGGTTTTGATACCGGGATCAAATCCATGCAGGGTGGGTTTGCCAATAGCTATTGATCATGCTGACAGGCAGGAACACCTCAGCAAGCAAGAGTCCAAAAGTGGTAGGATAAAACCCGGAACCTTAATCAGTGGCCGATACCATATGAGAAACTTCCTCCAGGCACACAGAAGACTGGGCAACTTGGAAGGTGCTGAACAGACTGTGCTTTGGCACCACGAGATGTAGAGCTAACATTAAGAAATGGGACTACAAAGTGGAGTCCATGACATGTGAGAGTGGAGAACAGCAAACAACAGACCACTCATTATAATGCGGTCTGAGCCCTGCCAGATGCACAATGGAGGACCTTCCTACAGCGACACCAGAGGCACTCCAAGTGGCCAGCTACTGGTCAAAGGGTATTTAGTATAATGCCAATTTTTTAACTTTGTTTGTGGTTTTTTAAAATACATTATAACTGTACCCTCAATTTGTTTCTGACACAATAAATAAATAAAAAGCTAGCTGGGGAGTTGATTTATGCCACAATATATCTGCTCCTTGGCAGCGGATGATTAATCAAGAGATTTTAAAGTATGCTTTAATTGTTTAATATCCATATGCTTAATTAACTTGGATGATCTGTTGAATTTGCTGCTGTTCTCTGCCTCAGTCCATGGGGAGAGGAAGGTGATGATGATATTAATAAAAACAACATAGCTGTGATTCTATATTGTGGTCCATCTTGCATAACTTTAAGCATACTTAGGGCCCTGATGCATATTTGGCTCTACTAATGTCCGTCGGCACACCTTGGCCATGCCCCGAAGTGAATCGGTTCTGTTCTGCATCAGTCTTGTTGTGCATGAGTCACTCTGTAGGTGCCTTACATACAAAATCCTGTAGCAGCCATATGCTGAATATAGATATCTCCAAACTGCTCAATTCTATTCCACGTGCATGAAAGTCCACTTATGAAAAAATATATCCCTTCCTGATTTCTAGACAGGACGGAGGAGGAGGAGGAGAAGGCATGATAACAGAGAGGCTAATTCCAACCCCAAGAATAAAGTTACCTGCCAGCCAAGATCCCTGAAACTGACATAGAGCTCATGCTTCTTGCAAGCTTGTCTCTGGTCACTGCTGGTGTTTTCTGAGTATGGAGGGTGGGACAAGGAGGAGAAAAGCACCAAACCAGCATGTTAGTTCAAGTTGTTCATAGAAAAGAACCGTTTCAAACAATGTTGAAGCCATGAAAAACAATTGAGATGTATTTATTTTGTTTGTAAATACAGACATTTTTGAAGCGAAATGACAAGGTTAACAGACTAAGCCATTTTCTTTTGGAGCACAAGGTTCATAATATATAACTTTGGCATAAAATTATCATATTTGACATGTCAAAATAAGAGTTTACTCAGAATGTAATGAAACAATGAACTTAAAAAAAATATGTTTCTGCTACCAATACAGTCACAGAGCTATTAAGTGTAAGAACCGCATAAATCATAAGAAACTTCTTTGGTTTGGCCAGCAGAGAAAACAAACACAGATGAAAATATCAAGAATATCAAAACCTTAGAAAATTACTGTTTCCACTAGTTATGCACAGTGTCGAGCAAGTGTAGTACACTCATTTGTATAAAATGAACCATGAAATGGAAACCAAGACCAGGGATTATACTGATCTTATACTGTGCATAATTTTGCATAAAGATCTTCATCTCATAAAGTTTTTAGAGAAGTTTTTGAGGTAGTAACTATGTGAACACCTTGCCTTCAACATTTTATTCATCTTAAACAGCTCCACTGGGTGTTGTTTCATTTCCAGGTGCAATTCAAAGTGCAGTTTATGACCTTAAAACCCTATACAGCTCAAATCCAGGTTATCTGACCACATTCTCCCATTTCAACTTGCCCATGATTTGAAATCCACTGTGAAGTATCCTTTCTCTCTCCCATCAGCCTCAAGGGTACATCTGGTGAGAACAGAGGAGACAATCTTCTATGTGGCTGCTCTCAGGCTCTGGAATTCCCTTCCCAGAGTTTCAACTTCCACCCTCCAATGGCGGTTTGGGGGTGGAGGTTGAAGCCTGCTCTGCTTAAGGAGACTGAGCCTTGCAGAGCTATGCTGCAAGGCGCAGTCTGTGTTTTGTTTAGTCAATACTTTAATATCTTTGTTTTTAATCAGGCTTAATTTTATGGATAGTTTAAGAAGCTTTTTCATTTTTGTACTTAGTATGTTTTCACTCAATACATTCTAATCCACAAGAAAGGGGGACACTTTTTTGCTTGTTTGCTTCCCATGCAAAGAAAAGGATGCTCAAACTCTATCACAAAAAGCTTTATCATTTATGGCACAACACATTCTAGACATCCAAACCAGGTCCAGGAAAGGAAGAGGAACTAGGAATCATATTGGAAACATGCCATGGATAATAAAGTGCACCAAAGAATTTCAGAAGAAAATAGGTTTCATAGATTACAGCAAAATCTTTGTATATAGTTGGCTCTTAAATAAATGGCGTAGTAGGAAATTTGAAGTGCAGATACTCATCATTGTAGTGCTCCTAGCAAAGCCCTCAACAGATGTCTCCAAATACATGCAACTATTTTGATGCACATCAACAAATAAATCCTTCTTTTCTCCAAAAATTTCTTCTTTTCTTTTACTTTTTGTAAAGTCATTGAGTCTTTAATGTCTACGCACCACTATGGCTGGATCCTCACTGCCATATAATCCAGATTATCAAAGCAGATAATCTACATTATCTGCTTTGAACTGGATTATGAGTCTACACTGCCATATGATCCAGTTCAAAAGAGATAATCTGGACTTTATATAGCAGTGTAGATAAGGCCTAAATTATCTTCAAACATTTTGCATCACAGGAGGGATAGCTCACAACACAGTATCACTGGTAGAAAAGATCCAGTTACTTGCATTCTATGAAGCAGATCATGGGTGCATCCACACTGCAGAATTAATTCAGTTTGACACCACTTTAACTGCCATGTCTCAATGCGGTGGAGTCTTGGGAGTTGTAGATTAGTGAAGCACCAACCCTATTTGGCAGAGAAGGCTAAAAGATCTTGTAAAATCGCAATTCCTATGATTCCATTTTATTGAGCCATTGCAGTTAAGGTGGTATCGAGATACAGTAATTCTCAATCTATAAAAGTTTATGCTACCAATCTGTTTCTCTCAGTCTCAAAGGTGTTACAAGATCTCGTTGCATACTCCCCCAGCTATTGTGATGTCTAAAGGAGGTGACAAACAGTAACACTGAACATTATATTTAAAAAAAACTTTGCCCTTATGAGGACTGGCCACACCACAACACTTGGAAGTACCTCTCTCAAAGATCTCAGTATTTAAGTAGGTTCGTATTGAAGAAGGCATTCCTGTTTCAAAAGGCATAACCACCATGAATACAGTTTGAGATTAGGAATAAAATCAAAGGCTGCATCTTCATTGTTAACACAATTTCCCACCATTAATTTTATGGAAAGCACACACCTACTGCTTGCATACCTCCAAGATTTGACACCCGAAAAGCTTCTTGGTTCTTTGGTGTCTTCGATCGGTTCTGGTTGCGCTGTTTGCCTCCTGCAGAACGAATACTTCGGAAATGCACCTCGGTGGCTTTGAAGAAGGCCACTGTGAATGGCTGCTTGTTTTGTGGACCATGTCTCCCAATAAGACCAGCTAATGTGGGGTTGATGCTTTGTCCTAATGATAGGAGGGGGAACCGTGTTATGTTTGCTTATGATGAGGAATTGTTTTTATGCCTTCCGCTTATATTAGTATAGTAAAAACCATACAGACAGACTTACAACCCATGTGCCAAAGTTCCAACATAGCCAACACTACACATATGAAAACTGAAATACTTGTGGCCAAGCAATATGAGGGTATAGTCAAGATAACAAAAGTTATTAGTGAGGAAGAATGCACATAAGCTAGAAGAGGCTGCAGCAGTTTGCTTTTGCCTGAGCCTACTGGGAAGGGCAGGAGTTTGCCCTCTTTTTCCTCCTGAATTAACAAAGTAAAACAAAACCCTGCACATTAAACTCAGTTTGCAGCAACTGAGGTTGTATCTACACTGCCCTACATCCCAGGATCTGATCCCAGATTATCTGCTTTAAACTCAATTATGCGAGTCTATCCTTCCAGGTAATCTGGGATCAGATCCTGGGATAAAGGGCAATGTAAATCCAGCCTGAAATAAACTGAAGTAGAAAGCAGGAGGAAAGAAAACTGGGGCATTTTAAAAGCAATTGAGCTAATGGGACAACACAGGATTAATTGGGACCATCTCAGCAAAACTGAACATTAGGAGCGGATGCCTTCAATTCCAAGGAGGCCTCTCGGGTGCTGGACGAGTGCCTGGCCGCTGTGTCTATCTGGATGAGGAGGAACAAGCTGAAGATCAATCCCGACAAGACAGAGGTCCTGGTCGATCGTAAACCTGACCGGGGTATAGGGTGGCAACCTGTGCTGGACGGGGTTACACTCCCCCTGAAGTCACAGGTCCACAGATTGGGAGTCCTCTTGGATTCAACGCTTACGCTTGAGGCTCAGGCGTCGGCGGTGTCTGGGAGGGCTTTTGCACAACTGAGACTCGTGCGCCAACTGCGACCGTACCTCGCGAAGGCTGATCTGGCCGGGGTGGTCCATGCCTTGGTCACCTCCAGATTGGATTACTGCAATGCGCTCTACGTGGGGCTGCTCTTGAAGACGGCTCCAACTGGTCCAACGATCAGCAGCCAGGATGCTAACTGGGGCCCCTTACAGAGAGAGGTCAACCCTCCTGTTCAAGGAGCTCCACTGGCTGCCGTTTATATTCCGAGCCCAATTTAAGGTGCAGGTGCTTACCTACAAAGCCCTGAACGGTTTGGGACCAGCCTACCTGCGTGACCGCATTTCCATCTACGAACCCACACGTTCACTTCGGTCATCTGGAGAGGCCCTGCTCGTGATCCCACCGGCGTCGCAAGCGCGCTTGGTGGGGACGCGGGACAGGGCCTTTTCCGTGGTGGCCCCCCGACTCTGGAACACCCTCCCCAAAGACCTTAGACAGGCCCCTACATTGGCTGTCTTCAGAAAGAACTTGAAGACCTGGCTTTTCCAATGTGCCTTCCCAGCTTAGGAAATCTCCACTACCAAGTCCCATAAGCACTTTATCAGAACCAATGATTGCTGCACATCGCACATCGCACTTGCCCTGGAAGCCCTATATACACCTCCTGTCACATCAGCACTTTTAATCTTGTACCCATTGCTCTGGCCCGGCCCAGTTTTATTGTGTTTACTGTATTGTGCCTGTTGTTTTATTTTGCTTTATTTTCTGTTTTTTTGTTTTTTTTATTGTATTGTTGTGTTGTGTTGGGCTCTCGGCCTGTGTAATCTGCTGCACATCCAACATCGGATTCTGATCTTCACCGATTACACTGAAAATTGGTATTTTGTTTCCTTTACCATTTTTGTGTACCAAATAGATTTTTTGATGCTGATCACATAAATAACTTCAAAATTGTCACACCTCATAAGTTTTTTGAGAAACGGCCAATTTTGTTTTACAATTATTGCAAAATTATGAAACATTTTCTTTCTCGACAGTAATTTGCATGATTTTTTAGATTGCTCATATCTTTGACAGCCATAATCAACATTATGTAAAATGTAACAGAGACTCAGTTAAAATGCCATAAAAATACATTTCTGATCATGTAGAAACCTGCTCGGGCATGCTAGAAGCATGGACACTAGAGTATGCGGAGGTAGGCGATGGTGATGATCAAATGTAGATGGAAGCTGATGTTGATCCTGACATTTTGCCATCCTCATTTAATATCTCAGGCAGATCTGAGCAAGCTGGTCAGAGATTTGGGTTTACTGAAGAGCCAGGTAGAGCTGCTTAATCAAGGCTGCAAGGATGGAATATATCAGAATTATATATGCATTATTGGAAAAGACTGGCATCCCCCAAAAAATTGGTTCCAGGGCAGAAGAATGTTGTACTTGACCCACTGGTTGATCCAAAGAAGATATTTCTTCTACCTTTACACATCAGACTTGGGTTAATGAAAATTTTTGTTAAGGCAATGAATAAAGTGAAGCCTTAATTTATTTTCAGCAGATGTTTCCCCACATAAGTGATGCAAAGGTAAAAAAAAAGGTGTCTTCATTAGCCCACAAATTAGAGATGTGGTGAAGGACAACCACTTTTATGGTCTTCTACAGGGTGCAGAACATGTTTTGTGGACAGCCTTCAATAATGTTTTTTGTAACTTTCTAGGGAGCTATAAAGCACCAGAATATGTCCAACAGGTTGAAAGTCTGCTTCAGGTAAAAAAATCAATAAAGTGCAACATCACTGAAGATACATTTTCTTCATTCCCACTTGGACTTCTTTCCAGACAACCTGGATGCTGTGAGTAATGAACATGGTCAAAGGTTTCATTGGGACATTGCCAAGATGGAGAATCAGTATCAGGGCAAGTGGAATCCATCTATGTTGGGTGACTATTATTGAACTCACATCCAGGAAGCATCGGAGAGTGATTACAAATGAAAATCTGCGGCAAAACATTTTTAGTTTTGTTTCCTGACAACACCATTACTGTCATAGTGTATGCTGCCATAGACATACAACATCGCTTAGATTGTGGTTTTCAACTTTGAATATGTTTTAATGGATTTCAACTGTGAATTTTTAATACTGTTTATATTTAATTCTGTTGTAATGTTTGCAAATTTGCATATTTTATAATGTCTGCTAATGTTTTAATGTTAAGGGGTATAATAATAATAATAATAATAATAATAATAATAATAATAATAATAATTTGTCTTTTTCTGGAAAACTATATGTGATGCAGACATAATAAATACATAGTTGTGTTCAGCATGTTAAAATCTACTGTATTCACCCAAAATTGTGGAGAAAACAAAACATTCCCAAAAATTTGTTGACCAGTGTTATCATTCAAGACCTCAGTCTGTGATAAAATAATAAAATGTTTCTTTCAAGAAGTGGCTCTGCATAACAAACTTCATTTTCACATCTCAGCATGAAACTAGCTGGAGCAAATACTTCCGCTAAAAGTTACATCATGCCAGGTCAACCTCAATATTAGATTTCTCTGCGTTTATTTTAAATAGGGTTTCTGTGAGTTCACTAACCTATAAATTGATGTGATCCTGTAAAAAGGAACCATAAAACCAAGCCCAGCGGAACACTAAATTCTCATTGGAAGGTTATTAGTCGAAAATAAAAATGCCTTGTCTTAAATAAAAGGCCGAGGCAGTCACTGATTGCTTGCACTGAAGGGTAGCCAATGCAGTCTTTCATATTCGACAGCCAAACTGAATTTGGGAATACACAAACCTTCCCCAAACCTGGATCCATAGGACAGAGTTTGGATTGCAAATCCCAGAATTCTCCATCACAGTGGCTGAGAAGTTCCAGGACTTGCACTTCAGATATTTCTTAATAAGCTTCCTAATCTGCATGTTAGAGTATAACAATACAATACAGAGAGCATGACCTCTAGTTCAAAGCTTCTAGCTAATTGGACTACTGGTATTATACCATGGTCCTTTTCAGCTTCCATAGTTATACTACTATGCTTCTGCAGTTTAGGGAGGCTATTAAGAATGTTCAGCAAGACAGCTCCAGTGCCTCATCAAACTACAAGCCACAGGATTCCAGAGGATGTAGTCATACCGCTTAAAGTGGAATTATTATTATTATTATTATTATTATTATTATTATTATTATTTACAGCATTTATATGCCCCTCTTCTCACCCCGAAGGGGACTCAGAGAGGCTTACAAGATATATATATATATATATATATATATATATATATATATATTATTAGCATAGCACAACATTAGCATAGCGCAATATTATTAGCATAGCACAGTATCAATATTATATATTACTATATTGTACTATACCATTATATTGTAATATTATTAGTAATATTACATGCAATATAAAATAAATAATATTGTACTAATAGTATAATATTGTATTACTTTATAATATTATAAATATTATACGAATATACAATATATTATATTCTTAGCATAGCACAGGAGACAAGATGGAACTGTCCTCCTGGCCCCTTCTCTCTTCACTCTGGCCCAGAGCAGCAGTTGGTGCTGGGAGGGGGGGGGGGGTTCCCCATAGTGCTGTGATTGACTAGTGTGACAGGGCCCCAGGTTTGCCAAATCCAAAGTGAAGTCCAAGAATCAACTGAAGGAGAGCTAGCACAGGCTAGTGACATGAGTCCCCACTCACAAACATAACATGAGAAAAATCCTAGAATGACGATTATCATTGCAGATCAAATTTACACCTGGTTGTTTTGAATGAAAATCAGCATTTCTGCCCAGAAAATAGTATTTGTATGCAGAAGTATTATTTTTCTGTGCAAGAAACAGATTTTTTTCTAGGCAAAAAACCGCTGTTTTTCCAATGCAATCCAATTATGTGTGAATTTTGCACAGAATATGTCTCTGATCATTTCCTTCTGGCAGGAAATATTTCTTTCCCATATTGTGAATCTGCTTTTCATTTGTTTGTTTTTTCAAAGGCTTTCCCAGAACAGAAGGAAAATTCCTATTTTCTTCACAAACACAAAAGATAATTAGTGAAGAATCATATAAGAAATCCCCCTCCCTCAAAAGCAGGAGCTGAACTTCTGAATATGTGGTT